AAGTTTATTTTACTATACAATAAATTTTTACTAGGGATAAGGCAAAACTTTATAATAGTTGTTTGAAATTAGAAAATTTTTTTGTTAGTTATCAAAATATTTGTTTAGAAAATTCATCATATTTTGGAAGCAAAAATTTAGTTAAAAACTAAAAAAAGTATGAATATTTTCACAAAACGTTTAATTTTAACAATATTTATAGAATATGTATGTCAGTCTGCTTATCTAAATTTTTTTTCTTGTTTTTTAATTTTTGGTAAAATCTTTTTATTTAGTGAATATTTGTGGAGTGCCTGCAAGGTGAGGGAGCACTGTATTTGGTGCTGGGGAAGGAACACTGCAAGGCAGATGTCCTCTTCACACACCTGGTCTTGGCTAATTCTTGTACTATTTTCTGGTGTGTGTTTGTGTGTGTGTGTGTGTGTGTGTGTGTGTATGCACACACATGTGTGCTAGATAAATGGAGATGGGTGGTAGGTTCTCTTGCAACTTGAATTCATCTGATAATCTCAGCAATTATTATTTTTATTTTATGTTAGAGGTACTTATGAGCAGATGTGTAAAAACTAAACCTAAAGTAGTTGAGCAACTTTTGATTGTCAGTATTTTAAAAAGTTTTCAGGAAGAACGTAGAGTTCAAGAATGCATAAATGTACCGATATAATATATGAGCTTTTCTATATTACCCGTAATTTTGGAATAATGAATATGTAGTTGCACTATATATAGAAACAGTGAAATTCCACAGTTGAGTAGATTACATATCAGAATTTTTTTTTTTTTTTAAACAAGTAACAAAGACTCCAGTATAGTCCAACATGGGTTATATGCCAGCTACCATCCTAACATCCCAAATTTCTAACTAGGTCTTGATTGCTCTGTATTTGCACATGACACCTTCCATAATGAGACTCCTTTTCTTAGTCTATTACTAATCCCCACCTCGTTTGAGGTTATAAACTCTTTGAACCTAAACTCTCTTATTTCTCTTTCATTAGGAGAAATGTATCTTTCTTAAGGTTATTGATTGGAATATTACTTTCTGGTATTTGGGAATATAGCTTTTCATGCTATCCTTAATGAGATAGATTACCATTGTATTTAAAACCTTTACTTGATCCAACCTAAAATCTCAAAGGGATTGAGTTTAATAAAGGCACATTATGTTGAGTTTACCAGTTTTTTACTTTCTGACATACAAACTGTTAAGAATCTTTACCCGTTTCATCTGCACTTCAGAAATAAGATAAAATAATAAAAAGATGGCAAGATATCAAGCTGTGATCGGGCTCTAGAAAGTAATAGTAGTATAAATGAATTAATTCTGATGTTGGCCTGCATGTGCTAACATTATCCCTAAAAGAGACATCAAGGAGATACTGATTTAGAGCTCAGCTCATCCTGCAATTAAAAGGATATATTAAAAGATTTGTGATATTATCTATGAAGAGTTTAGATCCATAGAAAAAAACTTAAAATAGTGTGAAATATAATTTATATAATAATTAAATTTTAATTTTTCTTAAAAGGTATCTTATAAACAATTCTATAGTTTATTGGGAGGAGCATGGTATTTAAAGTGAAGATGTGTATATATATTATTTTTTTAAAATATCTTTGAAATGTCTATTCAAGATGAGCACACATCTCAGCTGTATATCCTTCAAATAACCAAATTGTATCCAGTTTCATATGTGGCAGGTATAGTTGCCATAAATTTTTGAGCCAAACTCTGTTTTGCTTTTATATTACTATGGTAGATTCTCAATTTTCTAACTTTGTAGGGTGAATTAAAACAATTCAGATTCAATAGTGTGTTTCCTATAAAAATATAGTTAGCAGTTTTTAAATTTAAAAATTCTATTATAGAATTAAATACTGTGATGTATCTCAATTCTTATTTTTAATAAATTAGTCTTAATCATAATTACTCTTGAGGATTCTCTGGATTATCTCTGGCCTGAGTATAATAAAGTCTTTAAGATCAATTTCACTTTTTTTTCAATATTAAATAAATTGATTAGTCTTAATTTTATTATAATTAAATAACCCCTAAATTTAATAGACACAAAATTCATCCTTTGGTTCCTTGTTATAGATTATTATTGTTAATACAGTTACTAATTTGTGATTAAGTGCTCCCTACTGTATGCTTGCCTTGCTTTCACCTAGAATCTAGGGCCATTACTTTCTGTAACCATTTCAGTGAGCTGCCATAGTTTTCAGTCTGTACTGTCACCTGATCCAAGCATGCGCCAAAATATCACTGTTCCTGGCTCCTGTATGCTGAATCTGCTTTGCAAACCCTTCGTTCCTTGAGCTTTTGCTTTAGCCAAAAACCAAAGTTAACAAATTATCTGGATATGGACATATACCATTTGCTTCCTTAGCTCTCATGCTGTGTAACTCTCTAGCTTTTTATTAAACTTGTAAATACTTTATTAAATACAATAATGGCATTCCCATGTGCAGTTGTGTGGCTCATGTGTCAAAATAAAGGCTGCTTGTGAATTTGTCAGAAGAATATGAATGCTCCACTTGCGTGCGCTGCATTCAGCTTTTCCGTGTTTTTTTTTTTTTTTTTAATCAACCACTTACTCTTTCATGGTGTTTGGTTTAATTACCTGGTTATTATATGTGTTATACCAAGGTAAGTTTGATGTAAGGTAACTTCTGTATTCTATGTGGTTACACGTATTTCATAGGAATTATTACATATTTTTCCATTTAAATTGTTGGCCATTTCTAAATAAATATTTTTTAACTTACAATAATAAGTAGCTTTCTCCATTTTTAAAATTAATTTTTAAAGTAATGTGGATTATTTCCTGTAAAATTTGTTTTTAAACCAGAGAAGCTACTGCATGTTACTTATGGTATAGATGTAGGCAAACCTAATGTAAGAAAATCTATTCTTTTAAAAAATATAGTATACAATTATTGGGTTTAGGAAATAATATTTTAAACTTCCCAAGTGCTTTAAAAAGTAAGTAGCAGATTCTAATAGTGAGTTTAAGGAAGTTGGGCTTTTTATTTCATGTAGTCTTTTAGGAAAACACTTATTTTCTAAACTGAATTATGCTTCTATTGTTATTTGTGATATGTTTTTCTCAGCATCAGAAATAATTTGATAGATGAGGACAACAACTTGAGTAATTGTTTGTCTTATAAAAGATTCTCTTTTAGGAAAGGATGTTAAATGGATGTTCAGAGTGGTTCACAAGCACGTATGTCTTAGAAGAAAAAGCAAATTTGAGCTTGAAAGTCTATCTGTGCTGTTTATGTACACATTTCAGTTACGAATGTGAAGAAAAACTTTGACATGTAGTATTTGTGCAAAATAGGGCCTCCTAATTGTTTCACACATTTCTTAATTTCATAGTATTGAGTGCTAACAGATTGTAGTCTTTTCTATTTCTCTTCCTTCTTTATTTTATCTTGTACTTTGATCTTTCCTCAGTTTCCTGAAGTCTGTATTCTTTCTTTTCTTCTGAAAGAAAGTTTTAGGGTAGCTCTGTCTTGGATCCAAAACTTAAATTCAAGAACTGGCTGGCATAATTTTTAGTTCTGGCTTTTATCTCCTCATTTCTACCTTTTGCTGCTCTCCTCCCTGTGGAGGAAACAATCACTTCATAGGAATGTGACCTATAACAAGCTTCCTAATCTTTTTTACTTTGCTGTCTTCACTATTTTAATAGTGAGTATAATTCCACTTACTCTACTTATTTTGAAATGGATATATACTGCAATTTAAAAATAGAAAGTGGTGTTGGATTGTTTGGTTTTCAGTTTTAATAGTTCTTTTTCTATGGAACCTTTTACAATAAGAGCTTAGCACCCTATTTAAAGTTGATTAAGTTTTCAAATTGTTCCCAGATACGAATAGGCCACAAAAAGAAACAAATCAGGATATGCTAATTATAGACTGTTGAGTTCTGTTTTTAACATCTTTGCTGGTAAAAACTTAACTCTAATTTGCAGCTGCTGTTCACCAATAGTTTGCAGCTAAATGCAAGTGATTAGGAAGTATGTGTGACAGCTATCACTTTTAAAATGCTCCATTGCAAGCAATATTAGACTTCCCTGTGGCAATAAAATATAATTCTGCTAGTCTAAGCTTTTCTTGTCTTTTTTTTTTTTTTTTTCAGTGCCAGGAATTGAACCCAGGCCTCCCGCATGCTAGGCAAGCACTTTACCACTGAGCATACAGCCTCAGACATAAAGAGCCATATAAAAGTTTATTATGTTCAATCTGAAATTTGTCCTTCTATACATTAGCCAAATATATATATAATCTTTTAGATGTATTTGCTTTCTTTTTTTATTGACCTATCCCCTTATTTCATGTCACTTGATCTAGCACCCACAACTCTGTAGAAGGATGGCTGCATATAGCTTTCTCTTTCTCTCTCCCCCTTTTTTTAAAAATATTTTTTCAGTTGTAGATGGACACAATAACTTTATTTTTATGTGGTGCTGAGGATCGAAACTAGTGCCTCACATGTGCGAGGCGGGCGCTCCACCACTGAGCTACAGACACAGCACAACTTTTTTTCTTTAAACATTGACAAGTCTTTGTATTTGAAAAAACCCAGACTATAGTGGATTATAAAAAAAAAAAAAGGAATGAAATCAGAATTTTTATTAACTTTATGGATGTGACACATAAGTCACACAGGTGAGACATAGGGTATTATCTTGGTGAAGGTTAGAATCTGGAAACTCTAGATCTACATTTTAAGTTGTATCTAATAAAATACATGCCTATAGGTGTCCCTTAAAGTAATAAAGCAAACAGCTGAGTGGTTTGCTTTCTAGCAACCAATTTAAAAATGTTAAATCTTATGCTTTTTGAGAAGTAGCATTTTAAAGAGGTTAAGTTTAAAAATGTTGTAGAGCAGTACTTCTTTATCTCAAATAATATGTTTATTTTCAACATTGCTTATTCATAAAGACAATGTGCTGTTGAGTAGTGAACTGATTTAAAATTTATTTTTCAGATGAACCAGAAACTCGAGACGCATGGTGGGCAGAAATCAGACAAGAAATAAAATCACATGCTAAAGCCTTAGGCTGTCATGCTGTAGTGGGCTACAGTGAGTCAACCAGCATCTGGTAAATGATGACAACAACTTGGCTTTTTAGACACTGGAATCTAGTTTATCATGTGAATGGAGAAAAAGCTTTATGCAGATGTAAAGCAAAGAATAGGAGGGTCAAGAGCTTGGGTCTTGGGGTGCTTTGGGCCACATTTAATGTGCCATCTTTCCCACTTAATCACTGTGAAGCTTAGGGAACATTGCTCAACTCCTCTGAGAGCTTCAGTTTATTCATTAAAATGGAGAAAACAAAACCTGTCCAATAAAAAGTCCTTCAGGGAGTAAATGAGAGTATTATACTGACATATAGCAAGTATAAACACTATTTTACTACAGTTCATGAGTTTGTAGACTTTTTCCTTACACTGAAATATTTGGAACTCTTGATCTTTTATAAATGAATTAGCAAGTGTCTTAAAAGTTTGTAAACTTATTCTACCTCCATTAACTAACTGGAATATAACTTTATTCTGCTAACAAATCATCCTTTCTAACTCTTCCAAGGTAGGAAGGGGCTTCCATATCCTCAGTTCTCAGCTCCTTTTTCTCTTTCATTTGAACAGCTTGCCCTCTTTTAAAATCAGAACCATTTTACTGTTCACAGCCCTACCTCCAAACATTCTTCTGCTTTTCATTACTTGTCTTCTATTTCTTCCAGTTACATATTCTTTCTAGTTGCCTGGGTTGAAGCTTCTCATGCCAGAGTCCTTTATTGCCATTTGACTTTCAACCATATTTCAGACCTCATTATCTCTCTCCCCTACCCCAGTGCTGGGGATAGAATGCAGGGGCACTACCACTGGGCTACATCCCCAATCCTTTTAATTTTTTATTTTGAGATAGGATTTCAAATAAGTTGTCCAGGCTGGCCTCAAACTTGCTATCCTCCTGCCTCAATCTTCTGAGTGGTTGGGTTATTGCCTCTTAAAACTATTTCATTAAAAAAATTTGAAATTCTAAAATTTTACTCTCAGATAATAATATTTTCCCACCAACTCATTTGCTCATTTATACCTCATTTCTTTTGACCTGTATTAAGTATTTTCTCATTTTCTTTCCTCAGTCTGACTTGATTTGCTCTTTTTGCCATCCTTGAACCCTATTTTCAGCCTCTTCAAAATTTATGATTAAAATTTATTCTGCTAAATCATCAAAGGATGATTTGTTAGCAGAATAAAGTTACATTCCAGTTAGTAAACGGAGGTAGAATAAGTTTACAAACTTTAAAGACACTTGGTAATTCATTTATAAAAGATCAAGAGTTCTAAATATTTCAGTGTAAGGAGTCTGCAAAGTCATGAACTGTAGTAAAATAGTGTTCATACTTGCTATGTGCCAGTATAATACTCTCATTTACCCCCTGAAGGACTTTTATTGGATAGGTTTTGTTTTCTCCATTTTAATGAATAAGTTGAAGCTCTCAGAGGAGTTTATCAATGTTCCCTAAAATTTATGAAAAATTTATGATTATGTCAGCTAGAAGCTGTTTTACTTTCTTATTTTCCATCTTCTATTCTTGGATAATTATTTTTCTTTTCTTTTTTTCTTTCATCCTTTTTTTTTTTTTTTTAAGAATTTAACCTTTATTTTATTGTTTTTAATGTGGTGCTGAGAATCAAACCCAGGGTCTCACTCAGGCTAGGCAAGCACTTTACTCCTGAGCTATAAACCCGGGCCCTCTTGGATAATTCTTAATGCCAGATTCTCTGCTCTTGTGGCTATCATTATTTTAGAGAAAAATAAATGTAGTAAATGTGAGTATTATGGGGCCATGCTATTCACTCTTTGGTGGTCTTTTTCTTTTCTGTAGCAGACTATGTATTATACATTTGAACTATTCTATTCCTGTGGTAGCTATTCTACTCTAGGTAATTACCAGCTTTGTAATGCTTGATTTGCTTTATTTTCTGACAGATGGTCTTACCTCATTCATGGATTTAGTTTCATAGGCTTTCAGGTTCAAGTGATATCAAGTGATATGATTTTAAAAGACATAGTTGTTACCATCAGATTTACATTTCCTCCTGGATAATTGTGACATGTATAATCCATTTTATGATTTGAGATTTACCAGTACACTTCAAGATCCCAGAGGGCTGAAAATCAAAAAGAGGATAGAAATAAATATTAATGATGTAACTATTGCTTGAACTTAATCTTGAGAGATGAATATGCATTATGTAAATGAAGAGAAAAGTCACAGGGCATGTTCAAAGCTAAAGATATAGCAAATGAAGAATGCCAAAGGGTATGGCACGGCTGAAGATAGGTTACAGGTGCCTGAGTCTAAGTATTAGGCCATTGAATTAAGGAGGGATCACAGGTGCAAGAGTCTGTTTTATATATCAGTCTAGTGAATTTACCTAGAAGTTCAAATTCATCTGCCAGAAATTCCCTTTTTTCCCCCCTAGACCTTAAAAACAAAAAATCTTTGTATTTATATACTATCTTGACTATTTTTTTCTGTTCTAACCCATCCTGTTTAGTGTTCTAGATTAAATTCTTTGAGGTGCACTCTGCTTTGGAACCTCTTGACTCAGAACCTTTGCAAACTCATGTTATTCGTTCTGAAATTGCCAGTGCCCTCGTACCTTTTATGCCTTGCATTCTTGTACTCACTCATGTTTCACATGACTATTTCTTTTGTATGTTTCTATGCTTCTGTTCCATTTACTCCTTGTTTCTACATTTTGTCCCTGGGCTGCTACTTGTCTTATTTGTTTTGGGTGATAGCCTTCAGTAGTTATGTTGATTTGTTTTATTATTTTAGCTTTCAAAACTGATGATATATAAAGAATTTTAAAAATTATTTTAAAATCAATTTTCTATCATATATTTTGATCTATATTAAGCTCCATTTAGTATATTTTGAATAATATCTTAGGCACCTTTATAATCATTCAGATTCAGAGTAAGCTATGGCAATATAGATATTTACATAGTTATACTTTTAGAATAGTTTTAATAAAAATTTATATGCATTAAGAAAGTATTCTAATATAATGTAGTGGATTATTATTGGATCCAACAATGTTGTATGTTACTGCTTACAGTTTGAAACATTTAAATCTTCCAGGTAGCTATTGTTATTAATATTATGCTTTACCTTGTTTTTCAATTTTTAATTTGTAGAGAATTCTTGCCCTCTCCATTTTAATAAAGTTACTTCCATTTTCTATCCCAGATTTAGAAGGTAAATCCTGTGGTATTATTCAATATTTAGTAAAGTCTAACTTGAATTTATCACTCTTGTAATAATTTTGATATTTAGCATTTTCCAAAGTTATATTGCCTGAAAATATTCACTTGTTTGTATTTTTCCTGTTTTACAGTGAAGAGGTCTGTATTTTATCAGCATCTGGCACAGCGGCTGTTCTGAACCCTCGATTTCTGCAGGATGGCACCGTGGAGGGCTGTTTGGAACAGAGGTTGTCATGGCAGCCTGCCTTATTTTCTGTAATGGCAGAGAAGGGAGAAGTTGTCTCCTTTTTTTCCCCTCAGAACCAGAATAGTTGTCTATTAGGGTGGCTTACAGTGGTACAGTATAGAAATTGGGACGTGGCACTTTACTAATGTTTAACTAATCTTTGGTAACAGGTAAGTATGGGGTTCAGCACTGTATTACACACATTATTTCTGTCACGATAAGTGACATGTGTGACTATAGTTTTAGTCCACTCTTGCTTTGCTGTGACCAGTACACCTGATGAGAACAGTGTAGAGGAGGAAAAGTTTATTTTGACTCAGGGTTTCAGAGATTCAGTCCATGGTTGGCAGAGTCCATACCTCAGGGTTGGAGGGGAGTGGCAGAGGAAAGCGGTATAGAACATGTTAATATCAGAAAGCAGACAGAGAGCTGTACTCATCAAGGACAAAATCGAAACCCCAAAGGCATGCCTCCAGTGACTTACTTTCATACCCTGCCTGCCTAAAGATACCACCCTGTTAATCCATATCAGTGGAATAATCCACTAATCGATTAGTTTACAACTCTCAAATCTAATCGTTTCATCTCTGAGCATTCTTGCATTGTGGCATACATGAGCTTTTGGAGGATAGGACATATCTAAACCATAGCAACTACCAATTGAGGAATTTTTAGACTTTGTTATAATATACAAATTATTTTATTTGACTTTGCCTTTCTTTCCCCCTTATGCCTCCTTCAAAAACAAAAAAGAGGCCATGAAATAAGATTAAAAAAAAAAAAAAAAGTTCTTATTTCACAAAAATAATCAAATCACTATACTGTATAAAATTACAGATAAAAACTTCATGGAAAGTAACTGTAGTATTTGTAAAACAGAAAGTAAGAGTATTAGGTAAAATAAACTTTGTGACTGACTTAATTATTTAGTCCCTTTGAACTTTTGTTACTGTAAATATGAAAATGTTTTTCATAAACAGACAAAACCATCAATTGTATATATAAACATATTCTTTTTTTAAGCATATACATGCATATAAGCTATTGGTTTGATATCAGAGTCTACATGAATAAAATTTATTTTAATTATGCTTTATGACACAATGTTGCATGCTTGCTTTCTTCCCCAGTATTAATATATTAGTTATAAATTAAGTAAGGAAATGAAAATAATTCTATATTTGGTCAAATTTAGTATAAATTGGCAAATCTGAATATTACAAATGTATTTTAGCTCTAGTCAAAAGAGAACCTTGTTAAGTTCTTCTTTTGTCAATATTTAAATGGATGTTGGCCATTCTGTATTTCAGAACCTCAAAAGTTATAAATAGGTCAATTTTAAAGTGTGTTAAACAATTATAATATTCTGTTGAATATTATAATTCTGTTAATTTTCTCACTCCTGAAATATGGTTCTTAACACTTCAGTAGATTTAATTCCTTTTTTTTTTTTTTAATATTCTTTTTAGTTGTTGATAGACCTTTATTTTATTTATTAACATGTGGTGCTGAGAATCAAACCCAGTGCCTCATTCATGCCAGGCAAGTGTGCTAACACTGAGCCCAAGCCCCAGCCCAGATTTGTGTGTGATTCATGCTGGGGATTGAACCCAGGGTCTCAAATATGCTAGGCAAACGACATTCAGCTACCACTGAGTTACATACCCACCCCGCTAGATTTAATTCTTAAGTAGATAGAAGCCTAATTTAATAAATTATTTTTCCCATTTTTGGATTTTTCTGTTTTGTGGCTTAGGTATGTGTAGTAAATTTTCAAATATGTTAGTCCAGGACAACAGATGCCATCTCTAGTTGTGAACAAAAAAGCTTATCTTTTTTCCTGCTATAAAATTATCAGTGCTTTTGCTGAGGTTGATTCTCAGCACCACATAAAATAAATAAATAAAGGTCTATCAACAAGTAAAAAAAAAAAATTATCAGTGCTTTCTAAAAAATTTTTTTTTCAAAGAATGTAGAAAAAAAGGCAAATTTCAAATGCTTTTGGAAATTTTCATGCTTTTATTCTTATCCCTTATAATGATGTATCACTTATGTTCAAATTTGTGTGAAGTGTTTAGTTAAACCTTGTTATGGTTTACCCCTTCCTAACATGGACTTTGGGTTCACGCTGAAATTCAAATATGAGTTCTGCTACTTTGTATTAAGTGTGACTTAGCAAGTTAATTTTCTGGGTTGATTTCAAGTTAAGAACTAGTATTAGTTATTATTAGCATAGTTAGTTATTATTAGTATTATTTTTAGTATTATTAGTATAGTTAGGAACTAGTATTTGCTGCTGTTTGCTAGGTATTACATTGAGTTTGGGATATATGTTTAGCTGTAGTTTTCTTAATTGTCAAAAACACCCACAAACATTTCTAGGTGGGTATTACATTTTCATAGAGGAGGCTCTGAGACGTTAAGTAACTTATTCAAGGTCATACAGTTCACTCAGATCTGTTTTGACTTCCCTCATATTTCTAACATATGAAATGCTGTTTCTACAGTAGAATAATAATAACAACTAGGAGTAATGTAATGTGATTTACAGGGTTATTAAGAAAATTCAATGAAAAAATGTATATAAGAAATCTGTAGATTGCCTGTCTTCTAGTTTATATAGTGTGAGTTTTCCTTCTCCCCTTTTTAAATTTGTTTGCTTGCCATATTTAATCTAGTAGGCTGCCTTAGGTTAGAGAGATCTAGACACATCTTTCCAGAGCTCTAGAAGATATGGCTGTTGGAAAGTTTGGGGTTCTCTGAGGAGCTTCACACTGTTTCAGTTCTTGTCTTGATTTTCTCAAATTTAGTGACTGAAAACATGTATCATTATTTTAAAATGAATTCACAAATAGGCATTTTACAGTGAATGGGGAGGAGTAGATGGTTTGCTTGTGGCTTATTTATGATATGTATGTCATTTATGACATTGGCATTTGGTTTGTCAGAAGTGTTAGAATTTGGTCATTGGAAATTAGAAGTCTTAGGGAGTATACCTATTTTTACCTTTCCTGCATTTCTTTGTAAATGCATTTGTTTTTATGTTAATGTTTTCGAATTAACTACTACATAAAAACATTAATATAAAATAAATGCATTTACAAATAAAAACAGGTATTTTTTTAAAACAACTTAATTAACAAGTAAGTTAATTGTAAAATGTTCTTTTTCCCTAAGAAATTTTTTTTGTGCTTGCTTTTGTCAGTTAGTAGGAAAATGTCACCTTTATTGTCCATCCATCTGTTTTTATATAGTATCTTTGGAACAATGGTAAGCTGATGAGTCATCAAAGTTGGTACAAGATGGTTTTCTATTTTAAAGCTACTCTCATAGAAACAATGTACAGATCTGATTTTATGGTCATTTGTAATTCTTACCAGTCAAAGTGGTACTCTTACTCCTGTGGTAAAAGTTATATAGTTTGTATAGAAGTACTAAGTAGGTAATATTTGTTTCTGAAAAAAATCATAGGTTTTCAAGAATGCCTTTTTTATTTTTGGTGTGTGTGCTGAGAACTGAAAAATTCTTTCTTTCTTTCTTCATTTTTCTTAATGTATTTATATAGGCTTGAAGAAAATTTGCCTGCAGGCTGTGGATTTTGCCATATACCATATGATGAACTGAATATGCCATTTCCAGCTCATCTCACATACTGCTATAGTTGCAGGAAACAAAAAGTTCCTGATGTTCTCTTTACAACTATAGACCTCCCAATAGATGCAATAGTTATTGGAAAAGGTTGTCTTATTCAAGCAAGGTGTGTTTGTAAATACAGTATTTGTGTTCCCTAAAAAAATTATCAGGCATGGAGTTATAAATATTTATTGTTTCCTACCTATTTGATCCTGGATAGGCTGTGCAGTTCTACTGGAACCTTTATTCCATGTACTTTAGGAGGAAAAAATATCTGTATAAAACTCAAATAAGTTTATGTGCAGAAAGAGTTTTTAAATATTTAAATGCTGTACAAATGTTCATCATGGTTATTATTAACCTCTTTATAGGCTAGGGATATTACTAGCATAGATTGCTTAAATGACATTATATATATGTTTTAGTTAGCTTTTTTGCCACAGTTACCAAAAGACCTGTCAAAAACAATTTTAGAGGAGGAAAAGTGTATTTGGGGCTCATATTTTCAGAGATTTTAGTCCATAGAAGGCTGACTTTACTACTCTTGAACCAAGATGAAGTTGGACATCCTGGTGGAAGTGCTTGAAGGAGGAAAACAACTCAGGACATGGCAACCAGAAAGCATGGAGAACTGGGACAAAATATAAACCCAAAGACAGGGACTGGGGATATGGCTCAGTTGGTAGAGTGCTTTCCTTGCATGCACAAGGCCCTGGCTTCAATCCCCAGCACCACAAAAAACAAAACAAAAATCCAAAGACAGGCCCCCAGTGACCAATCTCCTCCAGCAACACCTTACCTGCCTATAGCCACTGCCCCATTAATCCAATCAGTGAATTAATTTCACTGATTAGGTTTAGTTCTCATGACCTAATGGTTTCACCTCTGAAAATTTTTGCATTGTCTAATTCTTGAGCATTTGGGGGATACCTCCTATCTAAACCATAACAATGTATATTGTGAAAATTGACCTTTTCTTTCAAAAAACAGTACTATGTGTTGTTTCTTTTACTGCTTCACTTAACTGTTGAGAGTTTCTTCAAAAAATGCACTAGAGTAGGACATTCTAAATTGTGACATACAGCAAACAGCTGTAACTGTCTAGGTTCTCACCAACTGCAAGGTTACGAAGTCCTTTGGACATTTCTGTCCTCATCTTGCTTGACATCTCACCAGTTAGTGACACAGTTGGTCATTTTCTCCTTTTTGAAATTTCTCTTACTTAACAATGTCACACCTTCTGTTTTTTCCTACCTCTCTATGTGGCCTTTGGTGTCTTTGATGACTCCGCATTTTGTGATTTTCAAAAGCAATGGGTTTGGACCCTCTGTCAATTTGTAAATCTATATGCTATCTATATGTCCATGACTCCTAAATTTATAACTCTAAATAACATACTTCTGTTCTTCAGATTCATATACCTGTCTACTTCACATCCTGTTTTGATATATCACAGACATCTCGTGCTTGTTCCAAGTAGAATTGCTGATTTTTTTATCATCTTTCAGATTGTTTCTTTTCTTTTAAAAAAATATTTATTTTTTAGTTGTAGTTGGACAAAATACCTTTATTTTATTTATTTATTTTTATGTGGTACTGAGGATTTAACCTAGTGCTAGGTGAGAGCTCTATTGCTGAGCCACAACCCCAGCCCAGATTGGTCTTTTCTTTTTGAATAAAAACAAAACAAAACAACAACAACAACAAAAGACTACCTTTCTCTACCCAATTCTTCATGCCAAATTTGGTCTTTGATATTGTCCTCTTTCTCAACCTCTCCCTATCAAATTCATTACAAAGTCATGTTGAATTTTCTTCTGAAATATATTCCTAAGTAATTCTTTTAATGCATCTATTGGTGATGAACCATCTCTTTTGTTTGTCTGAAAAATGTCTTTGCTTTTATATTTAAAACATATTTGGGGTTGACAGTTATTTCCTTTCAGTTCATTAAAGTTAGTTTTTTTAAAAAATATAATTTTTAGTTGTTGATGGGCCTTTAATTTATTAATTTATTTATATGTGGTGCTGAGAATTGAACCCAGTGCCTCACACATGTGAGACAAGTGCTTTACCACTGAGCCATAATCCCAGCCCTGAAGATAGCTTTTTATTACTGCCTTTTGGCTTTTATTGCTACTGTTGAGAAATAATATATTAGTCTGTTGTCCCTTTGAAGGTAGACTTTCTGGTCTAAAATAGATGCTTTTATATTCTTTTTAAAAAAAATTTAAATTTTATTGAATTATATATGATAGCAGAATGCAGTTAAATCCATATTACACAAATAGAGCATAATTTTTCATGTCTCTGGTTGAACACAAAGTAGAATCACACCATTCGTGTTTTCATACATGTACTTAGGGTAATGATATTAGTCTCATTTCACCGTCTTTCCTACCCCCATGCCCTGCCTTCCCCTCTGCCCTATCTAAAGGTCGTCTATTCTTCCCATGCTCCCCCCCTCTCCATCCCCATTATGAATCAGCATCCTTATATCAGAGAAGACATTCGACATTTGTTTTTTTGGATTGGCTTACTTCACTTAGCATTATATTCGCCAGCTCCATCGATTTACCTGAAGTTGCCATGATTTTATTTATTTTTAATGCTGAGTAATATCCCATTGTGTATAGACCTACCACATTTTCTTTATCTACTTTTGTGTTCTTTTATTGAGTAAAATAATTTTTTTCCCTTTGCTAGTCATCTGTCGTATGATCATTGGCAGTTTGGAATGTTAGCTTTTAAATTATATTGTCTAGTGATTTGATAAATATTATTTCATTTAAACATTTTGAAATTTTTAATTTTTTTTTTCTTGGTGATGCTGGGGATTGAACCCAAGACCTGTGCATGTGAGGCAAGCACTCTACCAACTGAGCTATGTCCTCAGACTGAATTTTTTTATTTCTGTTTATTGAAATAAGACAAAATAAATTTTACAGTTGTAGATGGACAAAATGCCTTTATTTTGTTTATTTTTAAGTGTGCTGAGGAGCGAACCCACTGCTTCATGCATGCTAAGCAGGTGCTCTACCACTGAGCTAAAACCTATCCCGAAATAAGACTTACAGTGAGTTTACATAGTAATAAAAATGGCAGAAAATATTATTGATGTAACTTAATAAGCCGATTTGGAACAAATAAATGTTTTATTAAGTACACTTTTAGAAAGTTTTTAAACTTTTTGACATTTCTTAAGATAATATCAAGAATACTGTCCACTGACTGAATTATTCTTCTTTACAGGTTATGTCGCTTAAAAAAGAAAGCACAGGCAGAAGCAAATGCCACAGCTATCAGTAATCTCTTGCCATTTATGGAATATGAAGTACATACTCAGCTAATGAATAAACTAAAACTCAAAGGAATGAACGCTTTGTTTGGACTAAGAATCCAGATCACAGTGGGTGAAAATATGTTGATGGGCTTAGCAGTAAGTTTAGAAACTTTTGGTTTTATGATTTCTATTGTTGTAGTAGATTCTGTTTTATAGGAGTCAGTCTTTTAAAAAGACTTAGTTGAAGAAACTACCATCAAGACCTGCAATGGTTGGGGCATTTTTAGGTAGGGAAGACTCTGGTGTAGGTTTTCACATGTTTTAAAGGGACTGTAACCATAACCATAGTAGTTAAATATCTAAAAATTATCATTTTTAACTTATTAGTAAGTTGACCACTGTGGATCCAGATTTTATTATTGTTTACAAATTACTGAAACAGGGTTTTTACCTCTTGGCACTGTTGACATTTGTGCAGGGTGACTCCTTGTTTCTGGGTGCTCTCTTCTTTATTGTAGATGTTAAGCACCATACCCACTGTATGCTAATGCACCCTTCTAGTTCTGATAACCAAACATGTTTGCAGACATTGCTAAATGTTTTCCTGCCTACTGTTAGAGAAGTAAGCTTTATCATAAACTTGTACCTATGGCTAACAGTGGAATGTGTAATAAAATATTTGTATGTATATCTTTTTTTCCCCATGCAGGGGATTGAACTCAGGGTCTTGCATATTCTAGGCAAACTCTGTACCACTGAACTACGCTCCAGCCTTTTAACTTTTTATTTTGAGATAGAGTTTTGATAAGTTGCCCAGGCTGGTCTCAAACTTGTGATCTTCCTGCCTCACTTTCCAAGTAGCTAAGGCTACAGGCATGCACCATCATGCCTGGCAAAATGTGTATTCTTAAGTGCCAGTAAAATGTGAGACTGGTTAAAACTCTGTTTCCACTTCATGTTCCCCTTGTTTTGTGAGAAAATGAGTTCTGTCTGGAAAGATATCAATGGAGAAAGTTAGTGCTACTTTTGTAAATTGCAAAGGACCCAGAGAAGTATGTGTTTGCAAAACATAATGATCATAGGAATCTAATCAGTATTTTTGGAAATTCTTTTGTTTTCTAGATACTTTGCTAGTCAGGATTTTTGTCTGTGTCACTGGCAATTTTCAAATTTGAATTCTCTTGGCATCTTTCTAAGACATGCATAGATGTTTAATTTTAAGAAATTTATGGAACTTGGAATTTTTTTTAGTATATCTTTTTATTTTGTAGATAAAATGCCAAATTGCTTACTATTTCATGTGTCTTTTCTATAAGAGCAAATATATAAATTTTTGTATGTAGGGGAGAATTGTTTTATACTATATAATTGTTTTATAATAAATGTACTTATTAGGTATCATAATTTTTTTAGCAATAGAAATTTGTAATAATGAAGTTAATCTGGTTTACATTAAGATACTTGATGTTTAGAGTAACTAGAGAAAAATGTTTAATTCAGAGGTCTAAAAATTTGCATGCTTGGCAAGACTGTAACATAAATAAGTAATTTGGGCTGAATACAAGACTAGCAATTGATGAATACCTATGGGAACTAAGAACTGGATTCAAATTTGAAGGTTTAAAGACTAATAACTAAACCAAACATTTCTGATGGTTGAGTCCTACGGAACCAGTTTATGTCCCTGGTATAATTTTAACTTTGACTCAAATACTGATTTTCTGGTTTCATACTCACGTTTCCCTTCTTGATCATTAAGTGACATTACAGCTATTTGATATTTTGTTCTTTGTGCTGTTTTATATTTTCTCTACTTAAATCTCGAGAGTAGCTTCTATAATAGCTAATACTCTCATGAGTGTCTGCTAGGTGTCTGGTCCTGCCTGTGCTAAACTAGAAGGAATGTAATACTGTCTTCACTTTATGAGAGAAAAGTACAAATGTTATTATAGGTTGAGACTACAAAGTGTTATGGTTATGTGTGCTGGAACTGGACTGCAAACAGCCCAGTACTCAACCATTCAAGGCCATTGCCTCATTAATGAATAGAGCTAAGAAAGTTGCTGTGCTACAGCTTCATGTAGCATAGTAGAGGTTCTGCAGTTGAGCATCAGACACTGGGTTATGGGTGTGGTGATGGATGCCAGTGAACAAATCAATAAAGAGCATTCCTGAGATCAGTTTGGTCTGCTCAGACTTCATTGTAGGCTGCCATGCCCCTTTTAGGGTGGATTTTGACAGAATTGTCAATTGATTAGTTAAAAATTAATTAAAAATTCAAAATATATAAATATTCAAAGTCAAAAGAATTATCTTCTCTTTCCCATTCTGCCTCTTCGATTTTAACAATTTGCTGTTTATACTTCTTATTTTGTTGCTCTGTGTATAGTAGCATAAACATAAACATATATGTAAATCTCATCTTGTTATTATTTTCCATAGTAGTTTTCCAGTACTGATAGTTTGTGGTAACTATTTTAAGAGTCTGAAATTAATAGTTATTTAATTAAGTATTTTAAATAAATATACATTAAATTAAAAAAATTGTGGCAATTATGGTTATATAGTGAAATTTTCTTGAGTTTCTCAGTGAGAAATATCTGGATTAAATTTCTTTACATTTATTGAATGTGATCTTAACTAAGTTCAATGTCCTGGACTTCAGGGTTTTTTAAATTTCTTAACTTGCAAAACTTTCCCTTTTACTTTGCCACTGTTAAAAGTTGATTGTCAGGTCTGGGATTGTGGCTCAGAGGTAAAGCACTTGCCTAGCATGTGTGAGGCACTGGGTTCCATTCTCAGCACTGCATATAAATAAATAAATAAGATAAAGGTCTGTCAATAACTTAAAAAAAAAAAGTTAATTGTCTGGCTTGGGGCTGTAGCTCAGAGGCAGTGTGCTTGCCTGGTATGTGTGAGGCACTGGGTTCAATCCTCAGCAATGCATAAAAATAAATAAAATAAAGGCATTCTGTCCATCTGCAACTACAAAATTTTTTTTAAAAAAAAGTTGATATTATACTCATTTATCAAAAAAAATGTGTAGCAACTTTTTAGTTATTTATTACTATTGTCCTTTTTTATGCAGCTTATTTTTTATACTTACAAAGTAAAAACTTAAAAAAATGCTGTGGTGTATGCACTGAAAAGTAAATTTCCTCTTTCACACTGTATGTGTCTCATCTACCCAGGATCCTTCTCAGAGGAAAGCACCTCCTGTTATGAGTCAGGCTTTAGCATGCCTTTCTAGAGATGGCCTGTGTGTGTACTGATGCTTTATTGTGTTTTCTTACAGAACACAGGATCACATTCCTAAATATGAAACCTTTTTAAAATATATATATATATATATATATATATATATATATATATATATATTAGTGGTAGATGGACACAATATTTTTATTTTATTTTTTTATGTGGTGCTAAGGATTGAACCCAGTGCCTCACTCAGGCTAGGCGAGTGCTGTACCACTGAGCCACAACCCCAGCCCTAAATATGAAAACTTAAAGACCATAATTCTTAAATATTTTATCTGATTATTTCTCTGTTTTGCAAGTCTGCCACAGGTGTATATTTAGCGGCTTTACCAATGCCTGGTGGTATTCAGATTGCTGGGAAGACTCCTAATGATGGTTCATATGAACAGCATATCTCTCATATGCAAAAGAAGATAAATGATACAATTGCTAAGAACAAAGAATTATATGAAATCAATCCTCCAGTAAGTAAAACAATTCTACATTGTAAATACACTGCTTATGAGTAGGTCATCTTATTTTGGATTTTTTTTTTTTTTTTTTTTTTTGGTGGAGGGGAGTTTGAGGTCTCACTACATTGCCCAGGCTGGTTTTCAACTCCTGAGCTCAAGTGATCCTCCTACCTCAAATTCCTGTGCAGCTGGGACTATAGGTGTGTGCTACTGTGCTTGATTTAGATTTGCTCTCTTTTTTTTACTTGTTCTTTCACTTCCCTTAACATCTTTACACAAATGTTTCCTTTTTCAGAAGTCCTACACTGACCACTGTATTTAAAATGCAATTCTGCAAACCATTTTTGGTGCTTTCTCTCATCCTTCTATGTTTTGTTGTTTTCTGTAACTCTTTTCTGTGTGTGTATGTGACTTTTTGACACACACTCACATGCAGGCAAGTTTTTAATTTTGTCTGTTGCCTGTGAAAACCAGTGGAATGAAGCTCCATCAGGGCTGTATTTCTGATACTTAGAAAAGTTCCTTGTAGTAGCTTCTTAATAAATATATTTTTTTGCTTAAGATTATAAATGGTCTTTATTTTAATAAAAAGAAAGTGTTTATGGTAAAAGTGGAAAAGGAGATATTTCATTACAGCTGCTTTTTTACAATTTGCTTGTCAGTCATTTTCATAGTCAGTTTTCTTGCTAAGTTTGCCGTAAGTATCACAGTGCTTCCTCCTCTACAGATGCCTTTTCATTAGTGTGAATTGAAAGAAAGATGTTTTGGAGTTAGAATGCAACTGTTTTTATGAGTCTCTGATATGAAATACTTCCACAAAGGGAATATTCTGAATAGAAAAATGGACCACATATTTTTTGTGGTCTTCTACAGTAGTACATCTGAATTCTAACTTCAGACAGATAGCTTTTGTCAGATTAGCAAAATTGTGAAGTTGAGAGGAATTCTAAGGCTAATGCCTAGAGCTGTGCTGTTCAGTGTGGTAGCCACTGGGGCACTTGTTGTGTGATGAGTCTGACTGAGATCTGTTCCAAGCGTAGAGTACACACTGAATTTTGTAGACTTAATTTAAATATGAACGTAAAATATCTCATGAATATTTTTGTATTCATTACATGTTGAAAATTTAATATTTTGGATATATCAAGTTAAAATCTTTTATTAAATTGATTTCATCTTTTTTATTATACATCACAATAGAGGAGTGCATTACATTCATAATTTTTTTTGCATTACAATTCTTAATACACCTTAATTATTATGAATTATACTGCTATAAACATTGATGTGGCAGTGTCCCTGTAGTATGCTGTTTTTAGGTCCTTTGGGTATAGTCCGAGAAGAGGAATAGCTGGGTCAAATGGTGGTTCCATTCCCAGCTTTCCAAAGAATCTCCAGACTGCTTTCCATATTGGCTACACTAATTTGCAGTCCCACCAGCAGTGTATGAATGTATCTTTTTCCCCACATCCTCGCCAACACTTGTTGTATGTCTTCATAATGGCTGCCATTCTTACTGGGGTGAGATGGTATTTTAGAGTAGTTTTGATTTGCATTTCTCTGATTGTTAGAGATGATGAGCATTTTTTCCATAAGTTTGAGAAGTGTCTGTTCAGGTCTTTGGCCCATTTATTGATTGGATTATTTGTTTTTTTGGTTCTTATCTTGTTGAGCTCTTTATATACCCTAGAGATTAGAGCTCTATCTGATGTGTGAGGGGTAAAAATTTGTTCCCTTTATTGTGTGACTTGCTTTATATTTCTGTTGGGCAACACCGACTTAGAGCTTCTCTAAGTTGAATCAAAATGTTGATGTGTTAATATACTAATACTTGAAAAATAATCTTTGTAAAAACTCTCATACTCTACCATATGTGTGTGTGTGTATATATATATATATATATATATATATATATATATATACCATATGTGTGTGTGTATATATATATATATATATATATATATATATATATATTAGTTTTCACACATATATATTTTAGTTTTCAATGGACCTTTATTTTTTATTTATTTATATGTGTGGTGCTTAGAATTGAATCCAGTGCCTCACACATTGCCAGAAAAGCACTCTCTCCCACTGAGCTACCACTCTACCCAGACTCCTCTTACTCCATCATAATGAATGATTGTTAGCTATACATTTTTCTTTTGTAATAGTATTTTGATATTTGAACATCTATTTGTAGTGTTTATGCCAGTTGGGGAGAAAGCCTTGTAAGTTAAATCTTAGAGCCCCATTTGTTTTGTATTTATTAGTTCTAATAAGTTGAATTCATTACTAAACAGTGCTTATCATTTTTTTTAAATCCATTCTGACCTGCCACAAAATAATAACTCTTCCTCCATTGTGTTCCTGTTATACTGTAATGTCTGCTAGTAAATTGCCTATTACATGTTATTGTCTATCTTCTTTTAATATAATATAGTCAGCCTTCTATATCCATGGTTCAAACATCTGTGGAATCAGCCAACCTTAAATTAAAAATATTTGAAAAAAAAATTATAGCTGTACTGAAAATATATATCTTTTATCTTCTTCTTATTCCCTAAACAACACAATATAACAACTATTTGCATATCATTTACATTATATTAGTTATTATAAATAATTTAGAAATAATTTAAAGTATATAGAAGGTACTGGGGTTGTTGCTCAGAGATAGAGCATCTGCCTACCATGCACAAGGCCCTGGGTTCGATCACCAGTGCTGCAAAGGAGAGACAGAGAGAGAGAGAGAGAGAGGGAGAATGTGAATGAATGAACACAGAAGGATATTGTAGGTTATATGTAAATACTGTGCCATTTTATATAGGGGCTTGAACATCCACAGATTTTAATTAATCTTTGAGGAATCCTAGGACCAACTCCCTAAAGATACTGAGGATGACAATATAAGCTCCTTGAAGACAGAGATGTAATTAATTGAGTGTGAATTAGGTTACTTTATTCAGTAAGTACTTATTGAATTGTTATTACATGTCATACAGCTTATATTTTGAGAAGGGAGTGAGTCTATCACAATTAAAAAAAATCAGCATATATGGATTTTGTGTATTGAGGATGACTATATTTGCATAAAAGTGTTCATCAATTTATGAATCTGCTAATATGTCCTTATTTCAGATACTAATTGCATTATAATCCTTTAGAGTAACATCTCAGTTGTTTGACAAACTTAATAAACAAAATTAATTACCAGGCCACCGTATACATTATAGTTTTGTCTTTTTAATTGTGTACGACAGTCAATATATTCCCATCCTGAAAATATGGATCAGTGTGCCCCTTTTTAGGATAATAACCCCAGATGTGATGATCATTTGATTTTTTTTTTTCTTAATGCACTGAAAAATGTTTCTAATGTTGAGATGTAGTACCACTTAATCAAACTTTAAGATAAGGTATTAGAATAAGATACAAACTTTTAGAATACTAGTATTAGTGATGAAACCTCAATATGAATCTTAAATATATTAAGTACTAGACAGTTATATTTATTAGATTAATGATGTAGTGATCAGAGGTATAATTCTCAACTACTATGAAATCATAAAAAGAAATGCATCTAGTGAGAAGAACATTGCACTAAGAAAAAAAAGAACTATTTTAAACAGGGTCTTTACCTAGTCTTCAGACAGGCAAATATCTTTACCCTGAATTGCAGTGATTTCTTTTATTGTGTGTGGTTCTGGGGATTGAACCTAGGGGTACTCTACCTCTAAGCAATACCTCCAGCCTTTTTACTTTTTATTTCGAGACAGGGCTTCACTAAATTGCCAGACCTGGCTCTTTCTCATTTTGTGATCATTATATTGTGCATCTTATCAAATTTATATAGGACAGGTTAATTTGAAATGCAAATAAAATAAATGGATGTGAAAGTACTCCATAGATTATTATGTTATGAAACTGCAGTGGTCATCTTTTGTTTAAGATGTGTACTAGAAATGAACATTTAAAATTCTATTTTTGAAAAACTTTTACTTATAATTTCCTTGATTTTGTAAGATAGCTCTGGTATACCAATGATAGGCCTGTGCTCACATGTCCTTATTTTTCTGTTAATTCTTTGTAGCCAATAGTGATTTAGAATCTTTGGTAAGATCATTGACTGAGTAATAGGGAAAATCTTACTAATCCATGTGAGATTTCACTATATACTTATTTATTATCATTATTATAGCTATTAGAATTTATTTAGCTTAATAAGTTGCACAGCAAATATATGCATAAGTACATGTGTATATGTGTATTTGTTCACATATTCATGTTTCTGATACTTAACACCTTTGAAAATTACCTCTGGGTAAAAAAGGATATAAAAGGTGAGTAACTATTTTGGGAAATATTTCTTTGAATATTTATGAATAATTAAGACTTTAAAATGCTAAGTAGAAAATGCACATAGTCAGGAGTGATGGATTTCTGAGCCTATTTTAAAGTCCTCTCTGTCAGTTTTGCTTGTCTCTGTGACAGTTATATATTTCTAGGTTGGTTCATCAGTAAGGCTGTAATTATGGATAAAAAGAAATAACTATATCCCCTATAAATAGCTAAGAAGGGTATACTTAAATATAGAGTTAATTAAATATATTTAGCAGATTTTTTTCTCTGCTTGGAAGTTGTGTATTAGTATGAAAGTTTAAAATCAGACTGAAAAATATAGCCTCATGTGATATAAAGCAATTATATTTCCTTTAGGAGATATCTGAAGAGATTATAGGATCACCCATCCCAGAACCTAGACAACGCTCAAGACTTTTAAGATCTCAGTCAGAAAGTTCTGATGAAGTTATGGAATTAGATCTTTCACATGGGAAAAAAGATGCTTTTGTTTTGGAGGTAATATTGCTTCTAGCTTAATTCTTAAAGCTTTCAGAGATTGTGCACTTTACAATTAGATGCTAAATTGATGTGATATTTTTGTGTTATTACAACTGATAAATATCAGTAAAGTTTTATTATAGAAATTGGACAAACCTGAAAATAACAGAATTTAATGACTGATGGAATAATGCATTTACTCCTGAAACAATTAGTGTATGGGTTGAAATAATATGAAAATATAGATTGAATGTTTCTAATCCAAAAATCTGAAGTGCTCTGAAATCCAAAGGAAAGGAAACTAAATGAGGGTGCAAGTTGAGAGAGAAAAAGTCAGATGTTTTGATCTCAGTGAAGCTGGAAGCTGGTGGTAGAATTATGTTGGGGTAGAAATGGAGATTGAGAGTCTGTGTTGGGAACAGTGCTTCAGATGTGGGCAGAGGACTGAAAGAAAAGGGGAGGATTCAGTAAGAGACTGAAGTACAAAGAAATTATGGTTGGAGAATACGTGAGATCTTGCAAATGGAGCATTTAGGGAACAGTGGGTTGAGGTATGGCAGTGGGTATCTAAGCTGTAGTGGGACTGAAAGTGAATGCATTCCAAGTTTGATGTGAGGGGAAGGTCTTTGGGACAGGGTTATATAGGTTAATGTCAATATGTGTCCAGGTAGTTATTTTCACTATTATTCACAATGCAAAGGTTGTGAAAGAAGAACACTATGATTTAATTTAGATATACTTATTTTAGATATGCATTGAAATTTTACCCTATTTAATTCCATTAAAAAGCAATTCTATATTTGATGAAAATATTCTTCTTAATTACAGAGAGATAATGATTCCTTACTTTTTTTTGAAAGTCTTTTGAAACATATTCTTATAGAAGCTTGAGAAAAGTCTGAGTTAAAAAAACTTATTCTAATTAGGATCCCATTCTTGTGGTTGTACATGGTGTTTCACTGGTGGTGTATTCATATATGAACATAGGAAAGTTATGTCAGATTCGTTCTACTGTCTTTCCTTTTCCCACTCCCTTCCCTTCCCTTTATTTCCCTTTGTCACTCCACTGAACATCTTCTATTCTTCCTCTCCCCAAATTGCATTCTAAAGAACAAATAAATAAAAGAAAAAGAAAACATTAATTTAAAAATTTTGGAATAATTATGCATTCACTGCTAATATGACAACAGTTTTAATCTTTCTGTTTTCAGATTGATGACACTGATGCAATGGAAGATGTGCATTCTCTCCTTACTGATGTTCCTCCTCCTTCAGGTGAACAGAAGAAATTGAGTTTGAGATAAAACTAATTTTATGTATCAGCGTTTTAGTTCATGATTGTTAAGCGTATTAACTTTATTGTAAAGGTGTTATCATAGTGTGACATTCTGTCATATACTTTGTTTCTTCAAGGCTTAAAACACATAACTTAAAAATACTTGTGTTAGAACTTAGGTACAACTGATTTTAAATACTTTTATGTTTATATATGAAAACATCCCTGTAATTATTAGGATGGTTAAAAGGTTTTTTGTAGGTAGAGAGTTTAGAAAAAAGAATGAAAAGGTTTTACAGTTGGAATTTCATATAATTAAAAAAATGTTATTCTTTAACATAAAATCAGTAATATTATCATGTTTTAATTATAATTTATTTTGGCAGGCTTTTATAGTTGCAATACAGAAATTATGCCTGGTATAAATAATTGGACATCAGAAATACAGGTAAACCCTTTATTAATTTTAAGCAGATAGCACATAAGTTATTTAATAAGTTCATCTAAATATCTATTTTTTTTTGACATTGCTTTTGACCTTCTTTGCCATTAAAAGGACTGTTCTTTTTCATAGCATATTAATTATTATTGTTTGCTATTTGGCACTTTTATCAATTGTTATAGTATGTAGTTAAAAATCATTAAATGACATGCTGTTCTGTCTTTCCACATTTAGATGTTCACATCAGTAAGAGTAATCAGATTAAGCAGTCTTAACCTGACTAATCAAGCTCTCAATAAGAACTTTAATGATCTCTGTGAAAATTTACTCAAGGTAGGAACCTTCTGACTAAATTTTATTTAAAGGCCTTCAGAATCTTGACGTTACACAGTTGTAGGCTGCATTGTTTTTATATACCTAAAGATCATATCTCTGTCAGCAGGTGGGATGCTAAAGTTGTCCTCTTTTTCTTAAAAGCAGTTTAAATTAGTTAATGGCTTAAATCTCATAAAAAAATCTGGTATATATTTGTAAATTTTGAAAAGCACATTATTTTTTATTATTAAATCTTATTGTTTATTTAAACATTAAAAATTTATTCTTGCTCAGCACAGTAGCACATGCCTATAATCCCAGCTACTCTAGAGGCTGTGACAGGAGGGTTACAAGTTTGAGGCCAGCCTACGCAACTTAGTAAGACCCTCAGCAATTTAGTGAGAACCTGTCTCAAAATAAAATGTAAGAAGACCTTGGAATGTGGCCAGCTTAAAGCACCCCTGGGTTCAAGTTCCAGTATCAAAAAAAAAAAAAAAAAAAAAAAAGAAAAAAAAGTATTCTTAATATTATACAAACAGAAGTGGGACAGTTTTATTTTACTCTTTTTAAATATTTTTATTTGCCACAATGTAGTGTACATTGACAAAATCAGCTTTTATAATTTTTAAAAATGAAAACAAAGTGACATAACTAATATTTTCTGTTGTGTAGAGCCTGTATTTTAAACTACGATCCATGATCCCCTGCTGCCTTTGCCATGTAAATTTCACAGTATCTCTGCCTGAAGATGAATTAATTCAGGTAATTAACATTCAATCTATTATTGAAGATTTCTAGCTTTTATCAGATTTGTTTTAATATTTTTTAAATTATTTTTTTAAAATTTATATATGACAACGAACGGAATGCGTTACAATTCTTATTACACATATAGAGCACAATTTTTTGTACACATATCTCTGGTTGTGTACAAAGTATATTCACACCAATTTGTGTCTGCATACATGTACTTTGGATAATTATGTCCATTACATTCCACCATCATTTCTAACCCCATGTCCCCTCCCTTCTCTTCCCATCCCTCTGCCCTATCTAGAGTTCATCTATTTCTCCCATGCTCCCCCTCCCTACCCCTTGTTTTAATATTATAATTTTGCCATAATTAAATAATTTAAACACATACTGTTTTACCTCAATATTTAAAAAAAATATGTCAGTTTTGTTTTTCTGAACTCTGATTATCTGAAGGTGGACTTCATATATGTGCTCCAGCATGTGAATAATAGATGAGTGCTTATTTTGTGGGATTTCACCAATCCCCATCTGTTAGAGAAGTACCTGAGCTCTTTCTGGAACATCTAGCTATACAAATTGGGCTTAGTATAGTAGTTAGAATATCTGAGTTTATATATAATTCTCATTTGGGATCTTAACCAGGAAAGGCAAATTAACCAATTGACATAGGTTGTTTTCATGATATGGAAAACGATTTTTATGAAGTTTAGTTTTGGCAACAATTATTTTGCTAATCATAATTGTTTCTGCAATTTTAGGTCACAGTCACAGCGGTTGCAATAACTTTTGATAAAAATCAGGCTTTACAGACCACAAAACCACATGTTGAAAAGTCACTACAAAGAGGTAAACCTTTAATGGATGGGAAGTATAGTTCATGATTGTCTGCATTACAATTCAGTGATAAATATAAAGAGCAGGTAGGTTAAATGACTTTTTTAATTGAAGAGATATTTACCTCATTTTATTGAGGTAACTGGATAAACATGGCTGACTTGATTGTTTTTTTACACATGACTGAGTGATTAACTGGTATTCACATAGGGAATGCTGCTGTTTTTAGACTTGAATGATATCATGTGAATTCTGTAGTAATTTAGGGGTTCCATGCCAAGATCTCTGGTGAGGTCCTCAAGGCACCTGAGAATTAATTGATACAGTAAGCAAAATTGTGACCCTGTTTTTCTCAGGAAAATTTTAATTATAAACAGATTCTCAGACATGTCCTTAATCCAGTAAAATTTAAGAAGTGCCATTCTTAAGATATTCCAAAGAAGCTGAATTATTAGAAATTGATATTATAAAAAAAGAAATATCTGGGGAAGAATATAATGCTTTCTAAAGTTTAAATGACTTATTGACTAACTAAAATATTCATGATTAACCTGAATGTTTTAAAGTTGATTTAAATCCCACATAGATGAAATTGATAAGATTTGATCATTGAGTTAATTTCAAATAGATGTATTAAGTGATTATGTGTTCAGATATTTATTGGATAAATTAAATAATGGCTGTTTTAAGCATCATATAAACTAGTAAGTTACACTATACAAGAGAACAATAATTATTATTGAATGCTTACTGTTTACAAGCCAGTGTGCTAAATGATTTATAGGTATTAATTAATCTTTTAAAATTTGACAACCTTCCCATCAGGAAAAGCAGCACCTCTTTCAACATCATGCAGGTGAAAGATACCCAGGGAAGAAACCAGGGATGAAATAGCCAGTATACATTTTGTGGGGGTGAGAAATATAACATGCACGTACACGTGCATGTGTGTGCATGCACACTCCCACACTCCCACAGAGTAGATATGCGGTTGCAAGTTCTTAATTTCTTAAAAAATCATAATAGATCAGTGCTAAATAACTATTGTTTTTCTTTCCTCTCCAGCTTCTACAGATAATGAAGAACTTCTGCAGTTTCCACTGGAACTCTGTTCAGATTCGCTTCCTTCACATCCTTTCCCACCATCTAAAGGTTGGTTAAGTAAGAAATTCAAATGCGAATCCAAGTTATAGTGCTTTTACTTTCCTCATTATAGTCAATCTTTCTTAATCTTGAGATTTATCCTTCATTTCTTCATTATGTGTTTCTCCATGTTCATTAACAGGAGAAAGTAATACTCATTTAATTTCTCAAGTAATTTCACCATAAGTTATTAAGGTAATTTTTTACATGATATTCCATTCTCAGACCTCAAATATATCAACATTTTATTTTTAAAGATTTGTACTTCATAGTATAACTTTTCACATGTAGTGTATTTGATATTTGTATTATATTTGGTAAGTTTTTTGTCCAGAAATAACCAAAAGTTTCAGACATCAGAATTTCTCAGAGGATAAATGGAAAAGTTTTAGGGTAGTACAAGGGAGACAGGGATGAACTTCCTGTCATATGTTAACTTTTGCTATAATTGAAGAACATTATTATGTATTTTTAAGATACTGCAGTTTTTTTAAGTGCAAAACAATTATCTGTAAATTTAATAGCAGTACATCTATTTTGATCTGTATAATCTTTGGAGAAAAATGGGAGATTTTTCCCATTTCTCTTCTGATTTCAGTGTAATTTTTAAAACTTTTCAAAACTATCATACCTAATTCTACACTATATAATCTTAATAAATGTAGTTTGCATTTTTTATAAATGCTTTTTCTGAGAAATGATGCATTTTTTTATTTAAAGTCAAATATATTCTATTTTTATATTCTGTAACGCAAGTGAAGTTGTTTTGTGATTCCTACTTGTTAATTATTTTATCTGATATCAAATTATGTGTAAAATAGTTTTATGTTCACTTTGCATATGTATCAATAGAATCTTTACAAACCAATTCAAGGTTTATCTGTAGATAAATGGATTGTGACTTACATTTTGAAGATGAAAATATAAACTATTATTAGATTCTGAGCTTTCTAACCTAGTAACTTCGGTCATATTTTCTTTTTGTCCTCACCTAAAATTCTAATTTAGAACTCCATGAGAATTTTAGCATATCTCAATTTCCTTGAAAGAATAGAAAGGAAAAATCATATTTAAAGAATATGCTAAGTTCATATTTCTGAATTAAAAATAATTTCCCAAACAAAACATTATTGTCAAGATTCTTCCTTGAATCATTAGATAGCAAGTTTTATTTGTTTTAAAACACATATATTATAGGGAAACTTGTATTTTACATAGGGTTAATTCCAAATGACTTTTAGGTGCCATTTCATTAATCCTTACCCTACAATGTGGCAAAAACCCTCCAAGGCCTAATCAACACAAAAAGATTTGATTGCTCATCTCTAGAAACAGATATTTGTGGAGTCAGGCTATATTAGCTCAATGTTACCATATTATTAATACCTACAGAAGATTAAATTGTAAGTTTGCCTTATTTGTATTGATAGCTTTCAAAATGCTATCCAAGGTAGTTGTAACTAATGCTTATTTAGTCATTAGTGTAAGATGATACTTTGTGAACTAAAGAACAAGGTAAAACATTTGCAAATCATTTTAGTGAGCTTGGAGAGGGATCACGAATGAGGTAAAAAAGCAACAGATGTGGCCCTCTTTGCCAAACTGTGACAAGATGTAAGAATTTGGGCTAATTACTTAACCTCTCTAAGCCTCAGTTTCTCTTGTGTAAAATGTGAGAGGGTTAAGATTCTCTCCAGCCTTTAAAATTCTGCAATTACTTGGGTTTGTGTTTTATAGTTCTTCTACTATAAACATGTTAAAAACTTAAAGAAAAGTCAAAAGCTGAATTAGTGCCCAAAGTCATACTGATCTTCTATACTTGTTATTTTAAATGTTTTCAAGAAACTTCTAATCAGTTAATCCAATAAGTTTTAAAGTCTGCTCCTCCAAACCATAGGGGTTTTCCAGAGATGCCTCAGGCTGCAAAGAAGGGTGAGGATTGAGAGGATAGATCTCTGGATGGACCTGCCTCTGAACCAGAGCAGCTTTGATTCAGTGAATTTTACACATTAGTTTTCTGTATTTTATTTGAAGAAAGGGTTTCAAAGATTTGAAAACCACTGAATCAGATCATGCTACCTTTATCATCATCAAAATTATCAGGATCATCATCATCGTAATTATCAGTTTCATAATATCTAATACTAATATACATGTAAAGCTTTTTACTCTTTTTACTCTATAAAACCTATGTACCTTTTGTTGAATATTACATTTTAAAATTATTAGTAAACACCTAAAAATGCATCTGTATCTCTTCATAGTTTTATAGTTTCTAAATTGTGATTTGTGATGCATGCTTATTTATTGTCTTTGCTTCCTTGAGTTTTTTCAGGAGGACATGAGTTAAATTTGTTCTTTAAAGGTTATTTGAAAGTAATTTGGAAGAATTAAGGGTAAGATGGGTTTTGAAAAGGTCTGAAAAATGTGGTAATAGAGCCTCATAATATGAATGGAGTAATTATGCGCTTTGACATGGTAGAAAGTGTTGAAAATTTAAGCTTAGCAATTTAGAGGAATTAAGCAGGAAAGAGAAAGTTAAGAGTGTTTAGGAGTGAACAATAAAAAATGTGTCTGCTTTCTTATATGTAGCCAGAAAGCTTAAAAGTCAACTACTCATACAGATAAATTTACTAAGTTGGTTAGTTAAGCTGATAAGTTTTTTTTTTTTTTTTTAATTCTAATAACAATGGATTCTAGTTTACATCTCATGTCTTAACTCAAGTAGGGGATTGAAAAAAATTCTTATTTTCTGGTGTGTTGACAGAGTAGTTTCAAGAGCCAAGCTTAGTATGTTTTTTAGCACTTCTGTCTTTTCACTTGTAGATAAACCTTCCATTATCTTTTTATATTATTGAAAACGAGTAAATGTTTTGTGAAGAAATGATGCTGTAGTTACATGTATCTTGGTTCATTGTGTTGAGTAAGCCTGGGCCTGAATTGTCCATCCATGTTCAATTTTTTCCCTCCATCATTTATTATATTTGGTTTTATTTCTCAAGGTACAAAAATAATTTTATGTATGTCTCAAATTTATGTTGATTTGGTGTTACCTTCCTAGTTATCTCTTTTTTTAATATTAAATGGTGCTGAGCTTCAATAATTTTCAAAAAGATATTATTCCATAAAGTCATCAAAATTCCTTACTGAATATGAATACTATGAGGAACATACATGATGTGGTATCAACATAAATTATTTATGTTCATATGAGGTTATATTATGAGAAAAAAATGACTATATCAAGATTTTTATAGTACTTTCCCCTCATCATTATTATTCATACCTTAATTTTTCTCTAAGTCATTTTCAAGATTCTTTAAAAATTATATATATAAAAAGATGAGAGAGTAAATGTAATAAGAATGGGGAGTCTGAGTAAATGCAGTCTGAGAGATACATAAAATACTAGTAGATTTTTCTCAGACTGCAGTCTGGCTAAAGAATTTTATGCATGTAGTCTTAATTTTTTTTTTAAGTTGTAGATGGGCATAATACCTTTGTTTTATTTTTATTTATTTTTATGTAGTGCTGAGGATTGAACCCCAGGGCTTTACACATGCCATACATGCATTCTACCACTGAGCTACAACTTCATCCCCTGCATATAGTTTTTAGAAAAGGTTAGCATATCACTTCAAAAGTCTAAAGACTTAAATTATACTATCATTTTACAGAGCTTATAAACTTAGATTAGACAAGTATGTATAAATCATGTACCATATATTTCAAGTACTTTATAAATATAATGTCTCATAAATTTTTATTAAACACTGATAGTTTAAATATTTTAAAAGGTTTAATTAGTATTATATGTACAAATATATGAGTGAAACCAAATAGAAGAGGATTTTTTTTAATACTCATCTTGTTTTTTGCTTTCATTTTGCTTTATGCTGGATGATTTCTTTGTGTACAGTGATGTAACTATAGCCTGACGAGTGTAGCAAGTACTGATTAGTGTCTGGCTTTTGATGTAAAAAACAACAACAACAAAAAAAACCCAAATTGATTTGTACCTGCAATGCATTGCTTTCCATAATTAGGTCTACACACTAGTAGTTTTTTTAATCCTTATTTTTATTATAGACAAGTTTGTTTTTGTTAAACCAGATTTGATTTTAAAAAGATGGTTTCATTTTAATGATCTGCCTAAGATTATTTTAAACTAGCAATTAGAAATATAAATTTCTAAAAACTATAAGAACTTTCATTTTTCCTACTAATTAATAGTTAACAAATATAATTCCTTTATACTAACTAAAAAATGTCTTTATATACTGATAACCTATTGCTTGTCTGCTGTTTCTGTTTTTGTTTTTAAAGTACTGTGTATTTTGTCATTATGACCAAATGGTAACAACAGTAAAAATAACAACTGATGTTCTCCATGTTATATTGGATGTCCAAAACAATCAGTGGCAGGCTTTGAAAGGAGAGAGATGATGAAGAGAATAAGGAAAATAGAAACCAAAATGAGGAAAATGTATGCAAATACTTAGCCAAGAAATAGGTTGGGAAGGGAGTTGATGAAGAAATAGAATACAGAGTCTTTACCTCTCTAGCTTCTTAAGGTACCTTGAGGACAGTGAAATTCAGAGGCAAAGGGATTAAAAAGCAAAGAAAAAAGTGAATTGGGCAACTGCCAGAAAACCCAAATAACTTGGAAGAGAAGCCATAAAGGGTAGTAGTAAGATGAAAAGTGGATGTATAGAGATGGAAACAGGAGCACATAAGAAGGGGATTGAAAAAGACAAGTGGCTTAGGATGTTGTACACCTTTAAATCGAAAACATAAATTACCCAAATAGAGAAGTTAATTTTTTTTGGTCATCTAATGTATGTATGTATTGCCTATGTATATTGCTGTTGAATTTTTCTCTTTTGAACTACCCAAATTGAAGCTATTTCCATCTTTCTTTATACCTTAATAATTTATAACTACAGAATGGCAATTTCATTATCAATTCATCAATATTTAAGTACCCTTATGGGTAAATTTATACTGAATGTTCAGATACACCATTTGCTTTAACTTAGTCATTAAACCAGATTTTATAGTTATGAGGCATAGCCAGTCAGTGTCTTATGGATTGATGGGACTGCCTAAAGGAACATAAAACCCAATTTTGATCATAATAGCTTACTTAAAACTGAGAATGTTAAAATGGGAAAATAAAGTATAAAATTTAAAGACTCCAGATTATGTGTATTTTAATCTGCCAGAGATTCTTGTTTGTAGAATTTTTCTCAGTTTTAGGAATTTTTAAAGATGTATATGTAAGATTGTCTCATATACTTTTTAAAATTATTCAGAGCAAAGATGATCTTTATATTTAATGATATAAAATGAATCATCAAAAGATTGGGTGATCTGTGTAGAAACTTTATTACAGCTGCCTTGGTCCACTTTATGTTGCTGTAACAGAATACCCAAGACTGAGTATTTTATTTAAAAAAAGACATTTATTGACTTGTTCTGGAGGCTGAGAAGTTCAATATCAAGGTATTGGCATCTGGCAAGGACCTTCTTGCTGCATCATCACAGGAAGGAAGAGCAGAAAGAAACAAGGAGGGGCTGAACCACCCTTTTTTAATGGTACCAATCCTTTCCACAAGAATGGAGCCCTCATGGCCTCATTCTCTCTTAAAAGTTTCTAGCTCTTAATTCTGGTTTTTTTTTTGGTACTATGGTTCGAACTCAAGGGCACTCAACCCCTAAGGCACATCGCCAGCCCTATTTTGTATTTTATTTAGAGACAGGGTCTCACTGAGTTGCTTAGCACATTCACTGTTCCTGAGGCTGGCTTTGAACTCTTGATCCTCCTGTCTCAGTGTCCCAAGCCACTGGTATTACAGGTGTGCGCCACTGCACCCAGCTTAATACTATTTTGATGGCAATTAAATTTTAACCACAGTTTTGGAATAGATAAACATTCAGACCATATTAACAGCTAGCCAATAGTTTTGAATTGGTTATAAGAAATTATTTAGAAGAATGAAGAAGTCTCAAACCTTAGAAACATTGGAGAGTATAAAATTGAAGGAGGAATAATCCTTGCCACATTTTTTTCTTTTGTCATCAATATGCTCATTACCACTAAAATGCTTTTAATCTGGGTTAATTTATCTCCGCACACCACTAGAAGTAGGGCTTCCCAGAGTGTGCTAAGAATAATTAAATTGTTGTCCTACTTACTAAGTTTCTAGGGTTATTTGAGAATGATGGGGTTTAATCTTTGTCTTTTATGAAATGGGAATAGAAATTTTGAGAGAATGGACTGCTGTATGGTTGGATTGAGGCTCTCTTTGCAGCTGGAATGGGGATCCAACATACAAAGTGCTCTTCCACATAGATATACAAATGGCACTCAACTGAGCATTAACTAATGCTCAACAAAGCCTGAATGACTTTAAATGAGATTTCTACCCTTGAATATGAAGTCTGCTGTCTTTTATTTAAAATTGATAGTGATTGCATGTTCTTCAGTTTATTTCTTTTTAACCAGAGTTACTAGTTTCTCAGTAAGTGAGATTTCTTATAACTGTGGTGCCTTTTCTTTTGAAAGGCCTATTAACTGGGAATCCTGATTTTAATGAGAAGGAACAATCATTGGGTATTTAAAGTATTCAAACTAGCCTGAGGTGCCAATCAGAGTCTATTTCCTGCCAGGATCTGCTCACCTGGAGTCTTTTCTGTTAGGAGAAAAATTAAGACCGTAGGCAGTATGTTAAAATGTAACACAGCTCTTTTTAAGTGAGATTAAAGAAATTCTCATCCTTTCTCCGAAGAATGTTTCTAGTTTTAAAGCATCATTTTTTTCAGTTTTAATTCAAATGCATTTATATTTGAAGTCAGGTAATAAATACCTGCCCCTCCTCAGAGTCCCCTCTCTTCCCTACTCTTATAAATTTAGTTTTGGAAAAGTATGAATTATACATACTAAAAAGTTCAAGTAACATCAAAATCATGTAATCCAAAATAAAACTCCCTTCTCCCTTTATTTCTCTTCCCAAGAGGCAACTACTTGTAACAGTTTCATCGGTCTTCACAAAGATTCTCTTTTTATTCTTTATTGGAACACACATATTTTACAGATTATTGGGTACCTTGATTTTTCCACTTGTGACTTAGAGGTGGGAATAAATAACTACATATTTAAGTAAGTTCTGTCTATGTATTTGTCATTAAATTGTATACAATTGCTTCTGCAGATTTCTATATTACCCAGATAGTATTGAGTTATAACAGAGAATTTAATTTTAGTAATTTTTCAAAAATTATTTTAGTCATTCCTCTGCCTATGCATTAATTTTTTTTTCATTGAATTACTATGAATTATTGTACTCTCTGTAATTCTATACTGACCAAGTCTGTACTGCCCAAGGTAGTAACCCTGAAGAACCTTTGAATTCTCCTAGAATATATAAGCCTGGGGTAGGTTCATTGCTGTCCCAGTTTCTGCATTGAGTCCATTCTTGTCCTGAACTCTCTGTAGATATGTGATAAGTCTTCCTGCTGGCCTTCCTATGGGCTCCATCTTCTCCCAGACTGCAGAGCTCCTCAAGATCCTGTATCAGGACTGTCCCCAACTAGACTTCTAGGCACAACAGTCAGGGAATGTGCACAGCATGGTACCTTCACAGACCTTTTGTGGACCTTACCTAGTGTTCTCTTTTATTTGTTATCTATCTATCCAGAGGATTGTCTACCACTGTATACTCTCTAGTATTCGCTACTGGTCACTTGCTTATAAAATGGTGGTGGGGTTGAAAGGGAGCTTCTTCCAATTTGGAGAAATGCTATGTACAAATGACATTTTAAAATAAACTTTTATAAATTTAAGAATATTACCAAAGATCAACACATTAAGTAGAAATTAAAAAATATATTTAATTTATATTTTTTTAAAAAACTGACTGGCCCAAATTATTCTCAGTATATTTCATGTGTCATTTCTAAATTGGCAACACTATTCTTTCATTTGTTCCATACTTTGAAACAAAAATTCAAATATGCTAGTGTGGATAGAACATGGGCCTTAAAATTGGATTATGACTTTCTTATAGTACTACTTACATTTGCATGATACCTTAATTATCTTTACTAAACATAAAATATCAGGGAAAACCTTGGATGCTAACTTCCTGAGGTGCTGGAAAGGGAGTGATTCTAGTTTGGAATTGTTAGTTATTTCTCTGAAGATGAGTCAGTTTTCGTTCCACAAAGTCTTGCTACCACTAGAGGGAGCTGTTGATAGTTCCAACAAATAAAAGAGGTTCATGGTAAGGAAGGGTAGGGGTAGGAGGCAGCATGTGTTGATCTGTGAGTCATAGCGCATTACTTTGTTTGTAATTTTTAATCTTACTGGCTCTTACTCCCTACAAACATGTCTCTTCCACGTTTCACGTCAGATATTCCTCCCAACACAGTGACCCTTTGTCTATTTTTCTTACATTCTGCTGTCATTCTACTAACATTTGTTACTGTTTATATTTTCTTATGACTATGAAGTTTCTGAAACTCATTTTGTGTTATAGTAACAAGCAGTCTTCCTTACCATGTTATTTATTAACTGAGCTAGCTTTCATGTCAATAGAAACTACATTTTAAACCTAAATATTTCTATTTGGTTTGCTTTTATAATGAAGCCATAAAGATTTATTCCTATTCTTCTGGCTTATAGAAGATATTAACAAACAACAAAGAAGAGATGCTGGCTTGTACTTAGCATTCAAGCTAATGTTGTTCATATTGTCTTATTAGAACACCTGGAGAGTGCAAGTTCTAACTCAGGTATACCAGCCGCACAGAGAGGTGAGTTTGTTTAATTAAGCAAATAGTCACCAAAGGTGTGGAATTCTAGTTAGGTGGTGCATAAAATTTCAGACACTGAAGAAATGCACTGGACAATGGAATAGACACCACAATGTGACTTTATTGTAGTTAGCATTTGTATTTTTTATTCATTAAATATTTATTTTTTTAGCATTTTAATGGTTTCTCAATTTCTAAAAATAAAATTTTAGCTCTGACTTTTTTTTAAATTAGCAGTAGTGAATTATTTTTTTAAAGGGGGAAGTTATTAGACTCATACCCATTTCCCACCCCCTTTGTCAGAGGCTTTGTTACCAAAAATCAGGCATAGAAACAGAATATTGACAAAAATGATCCTTTAACTTTTATTACTGATAGTAGAAAGAAGATATTTTCATTCAAGATAAGTCAACTAGTAAGGATTTTTTTTTCCAAGTGTTTTCAACATTTTGATTCTTTTTATTTTTTATTTTAGGATAAAAATAGAGAAGGGGATTAGTTATAATGTTGAAATTGTAAATTAAATTCTAATAGGAATAGCTAAAATAGTTAAATAGAATGGAAAATAAAGTTATTTATGTGTGGTCCTCTCATTGCTGTTAGACCCCACTAACATTCTCCCCAAGAGACCATACAGCTGTGACATCACCAAAAATGCTCAGCCAGATGATCAAGAACTTGGTTTTGGACAAATCAGTGTCGAAAGCTTGACTCTTTACCACCTCTCTTATCTGACTTTAAAAGACCATTCTTTTTTTAAGTTGCAGTTAAATTACATCATCAGAAGGAGTGTTATGACGAGTAAGAGACGTCATCCATATTTTTTCTTTGTTTTTTCTTTTGTTTTCTGTCTGTGTTTTCAGCAACGTCAGTTGATTACAGTTCCTTTGCAGACAGATGCAGCAGCTGGATAGAGCTCATTAAACTGAAAGCTCAGACCATAAGGCGCGGATCAATTAAGACAAGTAGGCGGATGTTTCTACCACATTATGATGATCTGAGAAGCATATCCCTGATTTCGCAGTGATGAAGGCTAGACCTTACTACCTAGTATTAACATTGCCAATCAGTCGTGTGTTGGAGTGTGAAAGCTGCAGATTCTAATGGTCATGTAGGAAGAGTAAATGAAGGGCCTTTAGATTTGTTAATTTTAACAAAACAGAATTTTTTTAAAATATTACTTTTTGTGAAGGCATAACTAAAAATATATAAATAGATATGATCTCCTTCTAGATGGAAGGTAATCACCAGCTCTCTCATCAAAGAGGTAATTCTTCTAGGACCCAGCGTATTTTGTATATTGCATCTGTCAGCTTACTAAGCGATATCCAGAGGGCTAAAAGAATAAGTATTTCTGGAGAGAAAGTAATTAACTCTCATCTTACTGCTAGACTCAGTATGTTTATGTTCTTTATCTATACCCCATGTGTTTTGGTAGATTTTAAAGTAACTATATTTGAGAAAAAAAAAAAAACTACATTAAAAGGGAAGGAACTACCTTTTAGAGTAATTAACAGAGGCTATGTAACCAGCCAGGTCTGGTTTTGAATTCTGGAAGTGCCAATTTAATAGCTGTGTGACCTTGGGCAAGCTATTCAATTTCTCTTAGCTTCAGCTTCCTCATGTGTAAAATGGGGATGATAATAACCTATGTTGCTGGGTTGTAAGCAATACACATACACATAATATGTCTGGCTGATAGCAGTTATTTGGCAAGTGGTAATTATTTTGTGTTACTTTATAAACAATAACCTTTTGATGGCCAAGGTCATTTGCTAAGTTTTTTAAATTATGAGTTTGTTTAATCAAAAGGTTTGGAAAGGAAATATATACCACTAGTTAACATAAGGTTTATCTACAAGTTGACAATGATGAAGTCGTCTGAAAAAGATGGAAATAACTGTACTGGGAAATATAACAACTTTCACACTCTTTGTAATAATTGGTTTCTACAGCAGATAATTTAATGCTCTGCCGCTTTTTCTTTTTCTTCACTTCATAACTGATCATTGTGTGTGTAGCTACTCCGCATCAACATTTTCTTTTGCAGGAATGCCATTTTTCTTCCAAAAGAATTCATTCCAGCATTTCCTCATGTGTTTTTCTTTCTCTCTCTTTTAATTGCATGCAGTGCATGATGATTTCTTTTCTTTCATGACATGGCTTAGCCTCACAGACAGCTGAATGTTGTCACCACTTACTTGGAAACCTTAGGGAATAAGTGACCGATATGCATGACCAGTATCTGTTCTTAATGTTACCTCTTCTTTTCTTCAATTTTAGCTGTGACAGTTGAAAAAGCAAGTCCAATGGGTGAAGGAAATTTCCGGAACCGTTCTGCTCCACCTTGTACAAATTCCACAGTTGGAGTTGTTAAGATGACACCTCTTTCTTTCATTCCTGGAGCAAAAATAACTAAATATCTTGGGATAATTAACATGTTTTTTATTCGGGAAACTACTTCTCTTCGTGAGGTAATTTTACTGAGGTTATTTTGTTGGCGTTTGGATTTTCTTTGATTGACTAGTAACAAAACCAAGTTTCAAATTATAATTTTTCCCTAAAATAATAAATATACATAAGTACAAATACATATTTTACTTATTTATTTCTATTTTAATAACTTAAATATATTGATTCTGGATTAAACTAATGCATTTCATACAGTAGCTAGTATTATTACCAGGAGTTTGTGTTAGGTTTAAACACATTTGTTGTTAGAAATTCTAGATTTTTATCAAGAGCTTTATTAAATCAAACAAATTTATCTATGTTTTATTAGATTCTTATAATAGCCCTGAAAGAACAGCTTAGTTTTTTCAGTAGTTATTTGCCTGAGATACATTTAAAGAGCAATTTTTAAGGGATCACCTTTAGAAATAGTGGAGGACCATATTATAGACATGTTTATGTAGATATTTTATGTAATTTAGCTTAATTGTTTCATCCCTCTGAAAAGAGAATGGAGCTGTTCATTTTCACTCAGTAAAAAGAAAATTATATTGAATCTTATGTTATAAGCAAATTAATACTGTGATATAGGGATAATTTTTAATTACTGAGGCTTGAAAGCAGGTAATTGCTTTATATTTTACTTTAGTAGCAGTTTGTACTTAATAAAGTATGCTTGTTATGGAAATGACTTAGTTGTGCTTCCCACCCCCCACCCCCCACCCCCGCCTTAGTTTTACTAGAAAAACTTCTTAGAAATCAAGCTTGCAGGGGCCAGGGTTGTAGCTCAGTGGCAGAGTGCTTGCCTACCATGTGTAAGGCACTGGGTTCAATCCCTGGCACCATATGAAAAAAAAATAAAAGGTATTGTGCCCACCTACAATTAAAAAAGAAAAATATTAAAAGAAATCAAGCTTGCATACTGTTTTCAATATCATGCTCACTGTCCTGCATCTAGCACAGTGTTTGGCATGGAGTAACATGATGCATTTTATGTAAATGAATGATGATTTCTGACAGATTGTTTCATTAATTAGATGGAGATTTTGAGGT